AAAAGCATTTTGAAAATTTTTAAAAATATATTTTAAATGAACAAGAATAAGCTATTGCGATTAAAAAAATGTTAAGAAAGAGAGAGTGAATAGGAAAGAGGGAAATCAGTGGATCCTGAGGAAGGTGGAATAGGTGGGGAGAGCAGAATAAAGAGAGAGTGGTGAAGAAGGTCATACAAAAGCCAGCTTGAACAAGTTATTCTTCAGCTGCTTTTTAAAGGAGTCCACTGAGTCCACTGATCTCAGGCTCAGGGGGAGAGAGTTCCAGAGTCTGGGGGCCACAGCAGCAAATGATCGGTCACCTTTGGTCTTTAGCTTGGTGCGCTGCACAACCAGTAGGCTTTGATCACTGGACCTCAGGGACCTGCTGGGGGTGTAAGGACTAAGAAGATCACCAATGTAAGATGGTGCTTGTCCATGTAAGGCCCTATAGACCAGAACCAGGATCTTGAAATGAACCCTGAAGTTTATTGGCAGCCAGTGAAGCTGGAGGAGAAGCGGGGTGATGTGGGTGTGTATGGAGGACTTTGTCAGAAGCCGAGCACAGGCATTCTGAACCAACTGTAGACGGTTCAGGGAGGTTCTGCTCAGACACGTGAAAAGAGAGTTACAGTAGTCTAAGCGTGAGGAGATGAAGGTGTGGAGAACTGTCTCAAGTTCAGACCGAGACAGAATGGGACTCAGCTTAGCAATGTTCCTGAGATGGAAGAAGGAAGAGCGAACGAGGGAACTGACATGAGAATCCAGGGTGAGAGCTGGGTCAAAGGTCACGCCAAGATTCCTAACGGAAGGTTTGGTGTGGCAAGCAAGCTGACCAAGAGAGTCTCTGACTTTGGGAACCAGCTTGTCTGGGGCACAGATGAGGATCTCAGTCTTATCTTCATTCAGCTGAAGAAAGCTCCCAGCCATCCAGGCTTTGATAGAGTCTAAGCAGGTGTGTAACAGCTGCAGCTTAGACATCTCATGGGGCTTAAAGGAGATGTACAGATGGATGTCATCTGCATAAAGATGGTAGGAGATTCATTTGAAGGAGCTCAGGATGTGCTGAAGAGGAAGCAGATAGAGGAGGAAGAGTAGAGGCCCCAGCACAGAACCTTGTGGGACACCATGGGTAAGAGAGGTGGTGGAGGACCTAAACTTGGAGACGACCACAGAAAAGGAGCGCTCAGAGAGATAAGAGGAGAACCACTCCAGAGCAGATCCTGATAGGCCTACCCAGTCTCTCAGCCTCTCCAGTAGCAGGTGATGGTCAACAGTGTCAAAGGCTGCAGTCAGGTCCAGCAGGACCAGAACAGAACAGTCCCCTGCATCACTGAGTCAGAAGGTCATTAGAGACCCTAAGAAGAGCTGTTTCAGTAGAATGAGCTCTACGAAAACCTGACTGGAAGCTATCATAGATGTTATGTTCATCAAGAGCAGCTGTGAGTTGTTTAGCCACAACCTTTTCCAAGATCTTGGAGATGAACGGAAGTTTAGAGATGGGTTTGAAGCTGCTATGGAGAGAGGGGTTGAGACTCGGTTTTTTAAGAAGCGGGTGGATTACAGCGTTGGTACAGGTCCAGTCTACAGTCTAGACTACAGGAACAGGCCCAGTCTATAGTCTACAGTCTAAACTACAGGTACAAGTTCAGTCTACAGTCTAGACTACAGGTACAGGTCCAGTATACAATCTAAAGTCTGGACTACAAGTACAGGTCCAGTCTACAATCTAAAGTCTAGACTACAGGTACAGGTCCAGTCTACAGTCTAGACTGCAGGTTCAGGTCCAGTCTACAGCCCAGACTACAGGTACAGGTCCAGTCTACAGTCTAGACTACAGGTACGGGTCCAGTCTATAGTCTACAGCCCAGACTACAGGTACAGGTCCAGTCTAAAGTCTAGACTACAGGTACAGGTCCAGTCTACAGTCTAGACTACAGGTACGGGTCCAGTCTATAGTCTACAGCCCAGACTACAGGTACAGGTCCAGTCTACAGTCTAGACTACAGGTACAGGTCCAGTCTATAGTTTACAGTCTAGACTACAGGTACAAGTCCAGTCTACAGTCTAGACTACAGGTACAGGTACAGTCTATAGTCTAAACTACAGGTACAAGTCCAGTCTACAGTCTAGACTACAGGTCCAGGTCCAATCTATAGGTTACAGTCTAGACTAAAGGTACAGGTCCAATCTACAGTCTAGACTACAGGTACAAGTTCAGTCTACAGTCTAGACTACAGGTACAGGTCCAGTCTACAATCTAAAGTCTAGACTACAAGTACAGGTCCAGTCTACAGTCTAGAACACAGGTTCAGATCCAGTCTACAGCCCAGACTACAGGTACAGGTCCAGTCTACAATCTAGACTACAGGTATGGGTCCAGTCTATAGTCTACAGCCCAGACTACAGGTACAGGTCCAGTCTACAGTCTAGACTACAGGTACGGGTCCAGTCTATAGTCTACAGCCCAGACTACAGGTACAGGTCCAGTCTACAGTCTAGAGTACAGGTACAGGTCCAGTCTACAGTCTAGACTACAGAAACAGGTCCAGTCTACAGTCTAGACTACAGAAACACGTCCAGTCTATAGTTTACAGTCTAGACTACAGGTACAAGTCCAGTCTACAGTCTAGACTACAGGGACAGGTACAGTCTATACTTTACAGTCTAAACTACAGGTACAAGTCCAGTCTACAGTCTAGACTACAGGTACAGGTCCAATCTATAGGTTACAGTCTAGACTACAGGTACAGGTCCAGTCTACAGTCTAGACTACAGGAACAGGTGCAGTCTACAGTCTACAGTCTAAACTACAGGTACAAGTTCAGTCTACAGTCTAGACTACAGGTACAGGTCCAGTCTACAATCTAAAGTCTAGACTACAGGTACAGATCCAGTCTACAGTCTAGACTACAGGTTCAGGTCCAGTCTACAGTCTACAGCCCAGACTACAGGTACAGGTCCAGTCTACAGTCTAGACTACAGGTACAGGTCCAGTCTACAGTCTAGACTACAGAAACAGGTCCAGTCTATAGTTTACAGTCTAGACTACAGGTACAAGTCCAGTCTACAGTCTAGACTACAGGGACAGGTACAGTCTATACTTTACAGTCTAAACTACAGGTACAAGTCCAGTCTACAGTCTAGACTACAGGTACAGGTCCAATCTATAGGTTACAGTCTAGACTACAGGTACAGGTCCAGTCTACAGTCTAGACTACAGGAACAGGTCCAGTCTATAGTCTACAGTCTAAACTACAGGTACAAGTTCAGTCTACAGTCTAGACTACAGGTACAGGTCCAGTCTACAGTCTAGACTACAGGTTCAGGTCCAGTCTATAGTCTACAGCCCAGACTACAGGTACAGGTCCAGTCTACAGTATAGACTACAGGTACGGGTCCAGTCTATAGTCTACAGCCCAGACTACAGGTAAAGGTCCAGTCTACAGTATAGACTACAGGTACGGGTCCAGTCTATAGTCTACAGCCCAGACTACAGGTACAGGTCCAGTCTACAGTCTAGACTACAGGTCCAGGTCCAGTCTACAGTCTAGACTACAGGTACAGGTCCAGTCTACAGTCTAGACTACAGGTTCAGGTCCAGTCTACAGTCCAGACTACAGGTCCAGGTCCAGTCTACAGTCTAGACTACCGGTACGGGTCCAGTCTATAGTCTACAGCCCAGACTACAGGTACAGGTCCAGTCTACAGTATAGACTACAGGTACGGGTCCAGTCTATAGTCTACAGCCCAGACTACAGGTAAAGGTCCAGTCTACAGTATAGACTACAGGTACGGGTCCAGTCTATAGTCTACAGCCCAGACTACAGGTACAGGTCCAGTCTACAGTCTAGACTACAGGTACAGGTACAGTCTACAGTCTAGACTACAGGTACAGGTACAGTCTATAGTTTACAGTCTAAACTACAGGTAAAAGTCCAGTCTACAGTCTAGACTAGAGGTACAGGTCCAATCTATAGGTTACAGTCTAGACTAAAGGTGCAGGTCCAGTCTATAGTTTACAGTCTAGACTACAGGTGCAGGTCCGGTCTACAGTCTAGACTACAGGTACAGGTCCAGTCTATAGTCTACAGTCTAGACTACAGGTGCAGGTCCAGTCTATAGTTTACAGTCTAGACTACAGGTGCAGGTCCAGTATATAGTTTACAGTCTAGACTACAGGTGCAGGTCCAGTCTATAGTCTAGACTACAGGTACAGGTCCAGTCTATAGTTTACAGTCTAGACTACAGGTACAGGTCCACGTCCAGTCTACAGTCTAGACGACAGGTACAGGTCCAGTCTATAGTTTACAGTCTAGACTACAGGTGCAGGTCCAGTCTATAGTTTACAGTCTAGACTACAGGTGCAGGTCCAGTCTATAGTTTATAGTCTAGACTACAGGTGCAGGTCCAGTCTACAGTCTAGACTACAGGTACAGGTCCAGTCTATAGTTTACAGTCTAGACTACAGGTACAGGTCCACGTCCAGTCTACAGTCTAGACGACGGGTACAGGTCCACGTCCAGTCTACAGTCTAGACGACAGGTACAGGTCCAGTCTATAGTCTACAGTCTAGACTACAGGTAGTCTACAGTCTAGACTACAGGTACAGGTCCAGTCTATAGTCTACAGTCTAGACTACAGGTACAAGTCCAGTCTACAGTCATGGGTCCAGTCTACAGTTACAGGTCTACCTTAATGGGTTCTTCTAATAAAATGAAAATGGACAGGAGGCTTTTGGGGAAATGCAGTATGTACTATTAATGGTCTTTTTTGCTGGCAGCTGTTAAAATGTAAACAAGGTAGTTTGAGCTGGTCAAAGTGAAGATGGCGTGAACTCGGAGTAAACAAGTCTAAACTCAGATTATAATGGTGACCTGTATAAAGAAAAGAGGCTTTTAGAGGAAAATATTTTAAACATCAAACTTTATAAAATAATCTTTAAATGACAACCTGTGTTATGCCCGCCTTCTCACAGACCCCCACGTGCCTCTTCTCCCCTTTATCCCCACACCACCCACCTTGCAGCCGAACATGAGGGAGATGGTGCTGTTGGTGCAAGCCACCTTGCAGTGGCACAGCATGGGTGAGAAACACTCCCCCTTGTTGGAGCTGGGGGACATCTTGTTGCTGCTGGGGCAATTGGCCGACAGCCGTCTCCTCCGGGAGCGCTGCCGCCCGCCACCCCCTGCGCCTCCCTCTCCTCCTTCGCCTGCACCTCCTGCCTCTCCACCTCCTCCTCCACTGCTGCTGCTGCTGCTCCCTGCTCTCACCATCCGCCCTCATTCCTCGCGTCGCTCCATCGCGGCGGGGAGGAAACGACTCCCAAAGCTCTTCCTTCATTCAGGGAGACCCTCTCCCCCTCCAACCTCCTCCTCCTTCTCCTCAGGCAGAATATATTCTCTCCTCTTAGGCTGTGACTCCTCTCCCTCAATCTCCTGCTTGGTGTCCTCCTCTCAGCCTCTCCTCCTCCCTGCTCTGACTGGTGATGTAGAGTGCTGCTGTGTGTTTGTGTGTGCGCGTGCTGCTCTTCTCTGTGGGGGTGTGATTGGTCGCTTGGGAGGGAGGAGGTGGCGGGGGCGACAGAAGTTGGTCACATGACTCATCGGAAACGAGGAGGGCTGAACGCGAAAGAGAGTGGGGGTGTATCCTCAGGGAAGGTAGAGTGATGTAGGACAGAGGAAGAGGAGGGAACACAGTCAGAAGAAAAGGAGGGATGAGGAGTATAACACAGGAAGAACTAGACCAGGAGATAAGATGGAGAGACAGAAGAGAAGAGGAGGCAGAAAAAGGAGGAGCCTGATGAGTGATGAAACTTCTAAACTACAACTCAAAACAACAAAATTACTGAATTATTTGGTTCCTCCAACACATCAGATTTAAATGATCTTCATTTTTCAGCTCAGCTTAGAACAGAGATTAAATGTGGTTTGTTTCTGTGGATGAGGGCAAATGTTTGGGGTCACGAAGGAAGAGAAACGTCAGTCTCAGTCCAGACGCATCCTACAAACTAAAACAGAAAGGAAAGTGGTCTTCTTCCAGGGTTTTTCCTGGCTCTATTTGAGGCAGAGGTGGTAGTACCATCGTTTTACCATCCTGACCATACGGCAGCACATGCATACTCTGTGCATTCAACTGTCACACTTTTTTAAAGGCCAAATATTTTTTCGTTAAGTGTTCTAATCTAAGCTTCTGTTGATAAAATAGAATATTCCATTTGACAATGTTTCAAGTGAAACATAACTGGTTTGCTGCTAAAAAATATGAAATAAAACAAAAAAATTATCAGGCTGAAATAACAGACTCTTATTATAAAAGGCTCAATAATATGCATTAGATTGGTGTTTAGTTCCCTTTTTCCCATCTGATATTTATAGTAAAAATATTTTTAATTATTTGACCTACATTTCAGTAACATTTTAGGTTTGTATTAATAACACTCATCTTAGTCAAAATAACACATAAATATATCCAGTAAAATAAAATGCATTTCATTAACATGCATTTATGGAAATGGTAATAACATTTATTTTCTGCTGCTAACAATGTAATGGTGAAATGACTAATATGTACGGGTTGGCAATAATCCCAGGGTATCTGCAGGTTTAAGGGAGCCAAATTTAAGACTTTTTAAGACCTTTTTTAAGGCCACTTTGTCCAAATTTAAGCTATTTTTAAAATTAAATTTAAGCTATAATTTCCAGCTATTGCCTGGATCCGGTGCTAACCACGTCGTGAACGTGGGATTAACCATCCAGTTACCATTAAACTTGCACTTCCCATGGCGCAAGCTCCCACTAGCTTAACCAGCTAATGTGCTCATATAAAAACAGCCCCCTTTTACAACCAACTGAATGTGTACGGTTCCGCTTACGCCAACATCGTACACAAAAAATGCTGAACACTAACTAGAAATTCACGAAAATTTTTATAGAAATAAAATAATCTTGTTTATTGGGTCTTTGGTAATTTAAGACCTTTGGAAACTGGATTTAAGGATTATTTGTCATTTTTAAGGATTTTCAAGGCCTTAAATTTGGAAAAGTAAGTTTAAGACTTTTTAAGACTTTTTAAGGACCCGCGGATACCCTGAATCCAGTTCAAATTATGTTCAAAGATAGAAGCGTTTGTTGATTTATATACTACAATTGCTTGCCGTAATTCCTGCTCCTGCGTGTGGAGCAGACTTGTAGCAGTAATGTAATGCGTCTCTGCAGCGGTTCTGATCCATAGCGCTGCAGGATGCAGAATAAATAGGATGGTGGCGACTTTTCATCCGCTTGTAGAGTTTAGTCTTTCATAGTTTTACGATCATCATATATTTTTCTGTGCGCCAGTTGATGGTGAGACTGCTACCCGTTAGCTTTAGCATTAGCCAATCTGTGTGTAGCTACACTTTGATCCCAAACTTTGGACTGGTTCTGCCTTTGTGCCTTTGCTGGTTTCTTCATTTTCCTCCACTGCATCCAGATGACCACAGTGTGCGCCAGTATTGTTTCTGAATGCTTTTTAATTCCGACCAGACACGGAGACAGAGGTGAAAGAGAAAGGAAGTGCTACTGCAGTTAAAATAACATCAATATAGCTGGGGGCAGAGTGAAATCAGGCTGGGGCGGCACAAAATTAGCTGGAGGCGGCCGCCACGCAAATTTGAATGCAGGAAAAGCCCTGTCTTCTCATGGAGCCCCTAGACCAGTGTTCTCCAACCATGATTCTCCTGGGTAACCACCCTGGCTGTTCCAGAGGTTTATTTGCTCCCATATACCAGCCCCAGCAGGTGATTAACGGGCTTCTGCAGAGCTTGATGACACGCAAAACTGGGGATGTTGCCTTTAAATCGGGTATGGTGGAGAAGAGAAACAATCAAACATGCTGGATAGTGGCCCTGCAGGTCAAGGGTTAGAAAGCCCTGCCGTAGAAGTTTGACCTCTCATCACCAGGCTTCTTCAGGTTTGATCGTAGGATTAGAACCTGGACTCATGATCGTTGCAGAACAATAAACACAAACTAGGGGCGAAAAGGTGAGTCACTAATGCACCCTTGTACCAGGCGAGTCCTTTGGGTGTTTGTCATTTCCTAGCTTGTTTCGAACTCAGAAATCAGGATTTATAAATATCTTTTGGTCACTAAATGATCTGACGACCAGATTCATTCATTCATCCATCCATCCATCCATTCTCTTCCGCTTATCCGGAGTAGAGTCGCTGGGGCAGCAGCCCAAGTCGAGGGGTCCAGACTTCCATCTCCCTAGCCACTTGGGCCAGCTCTTCCAGGGGAATCCCAAGGCATTCCCATTCCAGGTGAGGGACATAGTCTTTACCATTACGAATATTCTTGGCAGATCCTCTAACATCAGGTTCTGCAGATTGTGATATCAGTGTTTGATCTGGACAACCAGGTTGTTTCACAGACTGGACTGTGACATCACTCTGGTCAGAGATGGCAAACGCTGACTCAGCTACAAATGAGAGTTCTGACAGGAAAAAAAAGTTAATTTACTGAAATGTCTCAACATTTTCGTGACAATCTCATGTAGGATTGTAAAAACAAACATTTAGAAGCAAATTTTCTCGATCAATTAGTCACAGAATTCTTGCACGTCTCAAACCCACATAGAACCCACGTAGAACCCATCTAGAACCAGTCGATAACTCTGGTTTTGAATCAGAAAGTGAGACAACCTTGGGAGGAGTTAAAAGACCAACAGTGAATAAAAGGATAAATCCTGAAAAAATGGAACATAATTAAACAACACTGAGATTAAACAGCAATAAGAAAAAATTCCAGGTTATCACGATTTGTTTAATATTGCATCATCTGCCTCGTGTGCTCTGACTAGAAAGAAAACCTGTTGGGTTACGTGTTGTACAAACCGAATCACTCTCAGAATATGCTGATTTTCTACTTTACTATTAACCGAGTCACCAACAGTCATCAACTATGTTTATGTATTCAGCAATGCTTTTGTCAAAAGCGACTGGTCACCAACAGTCACCAACAGGTCACCGACCAGTTACCAGCAGTCATCAACTATGTTTATGTATTGAGCAGACGCTTTTGTCCAAAGCGATTAGTCACCAACGGTCACCAACTAGTCACCAACAGTCACCAAATAGTTACAGACTAGTCACCAACAGTCGTCATCAACTATGTTTATGTAGTCAGCAGACGATTTTGTCCAAAGCGACTAGTCACCAACGGTCACCAACTAGTCACCAACAGTCACCAAATAGTCACCGACTAGTCACCAACAGTTATAGACTAGTCACCAACAGTCATCATCAACTATGTTTATGTATTTAGCAGACGCTAGGGCTGGGGGTAAACGATTATTTTTAATAAACGATTATTCTGACAATTATTTTATCGAATAGTCGACTATTCTAATGACTATTTAGACAATTAATCCAATGATTATTTTTCTATTGCACAGTTAATAAAAACCAAAAAATCTCTAATAAATTCCTCAAAAAAATTGATAAATTGTTACAGTAAGAGAATAAACACTACAGGCCTTCCGTTTTGTATAACACTGCTTTTATTGTGTTGTGGCTGGTTATGTTCTGGTGACGTGTAGAACTTGGGAGTGCAGGCTGCTGCCTGAGAGGTGGTTGGAGACGGAGTGTCTCCATGCTGCTTTGTTTTGGTCACTTATGTGCGTGAGACGAGTGGTGTTACGACCCTTCCTGGGGAGTTTGGCTCGTGTGCAAAAAGGAAGGGACAATAACGGGATTTAAAAGTTAAATTGATGATCAAGATTATTTACAACAACAACAAAACATAAATCTTTCCATCCACAGGTTGGGAATAATTCTGCCAGTGGGGAATTAAAACAAAAGTACAAATAAGTAGGGATGTCCCGCTGGGCAAAGATTACAGGGTTCTGGACCAAAATAAGGATCTCCAAAGGTCCAAACTCTAAACTGGGCGGTTAAACCAAACTCAAGGTAATATTTTAAACTAAACCGAAAACCCACAACACTCTAAATGTAATAAAAGGGAGATCTGCACCACAAAAAAGATTAACTCTAAACCAAAACGTAACAGCTTATCCAAACGCAAGAAGCTGTTAGCAAAAATGCTAACAGTAGCTTTACCAACGTTAAGCTCAAGTTACCATGTTTAAATAAACCAAAAACACCCAGCAAACAGACCGGCACGGAGGAGAGACTGCTACCACCAAAACAGCTCTCCTATTGTCTGAAAGAAGCTCCTTTATGAAGGGAGAAACGCTCCCGGTGATTTTCTACATCTGCGATAGAGACGGAGCAGCGCATCTGACCCCGGAAGTTGTTGTCCGTTGCCGGGAGACGAAGGTGGGCAAAACAGGAAAGGAATCTAGCAGCGGACGGACATTGTTCCGGTTCTTCGGTATTTGGCGGAGATGTTAGTGAAGGCGGAGAAGAGGGCGAACTAGAGGAAAAACAGGCAGATTCCTCCTCTATTTACAAACTCCTGGGGATGCAACAAGTGGGTGCGGTGCGTCGACTACCGGATCTGACGTCGACAAATTTTTAGAATCGAGCCGTCGACGTCATTGAGGCTTCGCTACAGCCCTAGCAGACGCTTTTGTCCAAAGCCAACAGTCACCAACCATTGTAAAAGGTAAATGGCCTGTATTTGTATAGAGTCTTCTAAGGGTTCTACAACCCCCCAAGGCGCTTCACATCACAATCAGTCACTCACCCATTCACACACTGGTGGTGATGAACTACGATGTAGCCACAGCTGCCCTGGGACACACTGACACAGACCAGTTAACCAACCAACTAGTCCCTGACCAGTCACCAACGGTCCCAGCCCGAGGAGATGTGGTGTGGAGATCACGGAGGTGCTCAAATGTTAAGTTTTCTTGTTATTTTAATGATTGTTGGAACTAGGCTCTTATGAAAATGAGAATTTGTTTCTCAGTGAGATTTTGCCGGTGTAGAAAAAAGGGTCAAATACGTAAAGTCAGTGTAGCACCCATCCAGCTGGATGATGTTTTAGTTTAGTCTCAGAGGGACGTCAGTTGGGTTCCAAGATCAGAACTGAGACCTGCTGGTTCTGAAGCTAAATTAGGTCAAAGCTACAATCATCCCAACAAGGACAGCTGAAGATCAGTCTAACTGCAGAACCGGGCCGGCAGAAGTGACTCTGATCTTTTGAGGGGTGAAGACTCTGCAGTTAGTCTTTTCCTGAAGCCTGGCACTGAGGCGATTTGGGTTGTGTTGGCTCGTGTCTCTGCACATCCACCCACCGTCTGTCGCTGAGCTCCAAGACCAGCTTGAGTCACTCAAGGTGAGCAGCAGACGGGTTGGATGTGAGAAGTGAGGAAAATGCAGCAGCCGTTTAATCACATGAGTCATTTTTAACAAAAACCTCCAAATAATCAACATTAAATTGACTTTTCTTGGTTAGGGATCAATGATCTGATCAGAGAATAAGTGATTAGATCTGATGAGAATGTTTAATTCAGAAGATCTCAGATATAATAGTTAACTCAGATTGTCTTAGAAAAAGAAGCTGGATTATAAAACCCCATCATGAGTCACAGCTGGAACATATGAACCGATCCCAGGTCAGCGTCATGGTTATCGTGTTTTTTTTTCTACCGGTTGTGCAGCACCAGGCTAAAGGTCAAAGGTGACAGATCATCTGCTGCTGTGGCCCCCAGACTCTGGCCCTCTCTCCCCCTGGGCCTGAGATCAGTGGACTCCTTTAAACTCACCTGTTCAGGCTTTGGTGGGACCTTCATCACCGCCCTCTCCTGGTTCTCCTCTACCTATTCCGCCCTTCCACTGCTTACCTCTTTCTTATTTGTTTACTTCCCTTTCCCACATTTTTATTCTAAAATTTTATGATATTGTAAATAATTTTTTTATCTTTTTGTGTTCTAGTGAAGCTCCTCGTGATTTTTATTGCTATAGAAAATATTGTTTCTTATTCTTCTGCAGCACAGTGGGAGGAAACCATACAGCTGATTCAGCATGGTAGGGGAGAGCTGGTTTGGGCTGGTTCTGACCCAACAGGACCAGGAACTCCTCTAGATACCAAAGTGTCCTTGATCTGAACTGGGTCATGGAACAGAACCATGATCTGAACACAGCAGCCTTTCCTCCATTTAAAACCTGATGAGTACAATAATTATCTGTTGTGATGCATCAAACTGACGCAATATTAATTATGTAACAGCTCCATGTGAGACATGTACTCTACTTACTGTTAGAAGGAAACAATCAGCTGACAAGGTGGCTCCCCCTGCTGGACATTCCTCAGAAGAACAAAACAAACACCATCGAGCTCCAGAATCAACAACAACAACAACAGATACCTGACTGAAGATGAAACTACATCACATGGATGATTTCCTGAAGCCAGAAGGGCTGACGAGAAAAACGGGAAACCGTGATATTATTTTTACAGCTGAGCATCAAACATTACTGAGAACAGCTGACAAAACACTTCCACACACCAGCAGCAGGGGGCAGCACTCCTCCAGTAGACTGTTCTACTGAGCTGCTCTCAAGCACTCATGATGACTACAAACACGTTCATGTTCCTAAAAGGTCCATCATCATCTTCAATAGCAGCAGTCTCAGGGAACATATAGTCTCCAACTTCTTCTTCTCCAATTCCATGCTGTAGTTCTTTTTTAAAACACAGACCATACCAAACCAACAAAACCATACAAAACAGTTAGAAACAGACTAGTACACCCAAAAGACAAGATATCAGCTGGACTTAAATGTGGAGTCGTTTACAAAATCCCATGCAAACTCTGCAATAAAACATACATAGGAGAAACCGGACGCCAACTCAACACACGAACAATAGAACATAGAAAGGAGTGCAAGAAAGAAACAAGTCGAAAACACACAAGAGCAGCAAAAGAAGAAGCAGAAAGCACAATAAAGAAGTCAGCCATAACAGATCACTGCACAAGAGAAAACCATGTAATGGACTGGGACAACACAAGGATCATAAACACCGAACAACAGAAATACAAAAGATGGATAAAGGAAGCTATAGAGATAAGGAGACGTGGATGTGGGACCATGAACAGAGACGATAGAGTTTACACGTTGGACCGCGCATGGGACTGCATCGTCAGAGGGGAGAGCGGGCAGCAGAGGGCGACAACGTCCTCTGCTGCCCGCCGATAAACGGAGAAGGAAGTGACGCCACCATCAGCGTCAGCCTGAGGAAGTTTGCAGCCGCAAACGAAACGTAGCAGGAAAACAGGTAAACAGAACTGCTCTGTGTTTTTAAAAAGAACTACAGCATGGAATTAGAGAAACGACACAGCAAGAACACACCTAAGATGTTCTTCTCCGTTTTACTGTTAAACACGTCTGAAGGCTTGACTAAACCATCAAACTTCCTTCTGCATCGCTAATAAAAACAGCTGATCTGAGATCATCCAAAAAGATCAGGCAGAATAATCCCAGATGAGGGTGGGGGTGTGGTTGTAATCCCGTAACTGACAGGCCACGCCCACATAAAAGCAACCAGTTAAGTGTGTGTGTGAGTGTGTGTGTCACTCTGAGGAATCAGGTTAAACTGCATCTTCTCAGCAGCTTTGACCCA